ACAAGAAAAAGTAATCTCTGGGATCGAACTGGAAGGAGCAGGGAGGTCACTAAGATTTAGGGCTGGGGTGACTTCCAGGGAAGCAGCAGGAAGTTCCGTGTTGAGAAGTGATGGGCTGCTACAAAAGGGAATGGCGGAGCTCTGAAAGGATTTAATTAACCGTGTCAGGGATAATTACCCCTGGACAGTCCAAATTAGTTTTGCATAATCGCTCAGAACCATATGAATTAACTTATAATATTGCAAAGCGTTGGGAGAATAACAAAAGCAGGATCGTTTTAATTAGTGAATCAGGGTCAAACGAACAGACTGTTCCGCAAATCTTCCAAACTTCACACTTTTTGAACCTAATTCCAAGGCAAAGGCTGATTTGGAAGACATTTGCTCAGGAGCTATTGTTATTGCCACAATCAAGAGTGCAATCAACCACTTTAGAGAAAAGAAAAATATAAATGCACTTCGTACATACACGTACTGCATATATATGCACACAGATATATAAAACGAGCCGGGGGTTGCCACCTCAGTTGAGGGGACTGGCTCAGTTTTATTGCCTTGTAGGTATTCATGTTGTGAGATGCTCACAACTTCCTTGAAAGGATGGACTATTTCATCCTGCTCCTGATTTCCTGCTGCATGCAAACGTCCTTGCAGACCTTGGCTGGATTTACCTCTGAAAATACCATTTTCAGGCACTCAGATGGGAAAAGCCATTTAGAGGCAACGAAAGATGATAAGTTTTAGTTAGCAATCAACTGGGAAGGCCCGCGAAAAACACTCCAGGAATACAGCAGTAATATTGCTCAGATAGGTGAACAAATTACACGGGTTTAAGTGGTGAAGCTCTTAGGCTAACCAGATAAAGTGGTCAGGCAACTTTCCACTCTCTAAACGTTACTGGAAACCGATGAAATGCTGTGAACGCTCTCAGTGTATTCAGTGAACTCTGTTCTGCTGGTCCATTAATGCTTTTTTTTTTTTTTTTTTCCCTAAGATAATACAACAACTTAGATTGGTTTTTTTTTAATCTTCTTTCCTATTCACGATTAAAAATGTGATAAATCAGGTTTTTGGCTCTGAATAACAATGGCTTGATTTAGATTTCCTAGTAAATCTATTCAAAAGTGAAACAAAGACAGCCTTTAGAGGATACCTTACACCTCACCTGGACCAGGCACGTAAGGGCAATTCAGATAAAAATCTTGTTAGCAATTCAACAAGAAATAGAGGATTTTCTCTTTTCCCTGCTTCAGGCTTTATTTAAACTCTTTGTTCAAAAATGAACAGAGTGGTAGTCGGAATCTAATTTACAGATATAGTTTAGACGTCTAACTTTAAATTAGAAGATCACACAAGAAAACCATTTACACGTAAATGTTAAAACCATTACTTAATCTTTTTTTTTTCACTTTATATTACATAAAGCCAAAATGAAACTAAATACATGTTAGCCAGCTTCATTCACAAACATTAGTCAAAATATACACATTACAAAAGTAAACCAAAAAAAGAACTCTAAACTGATGAAAGATTTTTTTTTCTCTAAACTTTGTTTTCCTTTTTTTTTTTAAACGCCATTTGCAATTGAATTGCAGTCGCTCTAAAATAAGCTAAACAGRTAGAGTACTCCAAAACACATTTGAAACACTTCATGTTGGTGGGGGAGACGGACTTTCTTTTAAATGAGAATACTCTTCTGTCAAAGCAAAGCTCTGTTTCAGTTCAGCTAAATAATAAATAGATAATTATCACTCAGACAAAAAAGTCTGATTTAACCTTAGATAATATTGCGATCCTTGAGCAGTCTCACAATATTTTTATTCCCTTTGAAAGGCATTCTTTTTTTTTTTTTCAGGTTAAAACTGAATCGACCGTGGGMGAAGTAACTAACAGAGTTTTCCATCCGAGACCTAACATTTCCACAGAGATATACAAATTTACAGTCTGAGGGTGAGACTTAATTAGCGGAGGGGAGGGGGGAACACACGGGGTCCGAGTCACGCGTCTTATCCACTCGTAGAAATCACGATCCGCGCCTGTCAGCATCCCGTAGCAGCGGAGGGCAGAAACCCACGCGGGACAGGACGCGGAGCGGGGCGGGCAGCATCCCACACAGCCGACATCTCTCTTTGCATGGATCCCACGAGGGGCTACGACAGAGGGACCCTGTCGTTTCCCAGGGCTGCACTTGGCCCTGCCGTGATGAGCCGGGGCCTCACCACCCCCCAGCCACCCCCGTCTCTCCTCGCGGTGGCGGGGGTGCTACAGCGGGACTGTTCCGAGTCCAGCACCGAGCGGGACGCGAGAAGCGAGGGAAGGGAACGCCGGAGCCGGCAGACGGGCTTTACACCCCCGTGTCTGTCCCGAACAAACACTTAAGGGGGCAGGACGGATTGGTTATTTTCTCTTTTTTTTTTTTTTTTTTTTTTTTTTTTTTTTTTTTTT